AGCATTTGGGGGGCCGATTTGGGGCTTCTCGGGGCCTCCGTTGGGCCTCTTGGGGGTCTCCTGGGGCCTCTTGAGGGGCCTCCTGGGGGCCTCCTGGCGGCCTCTTGGGGCGGAAGGCTCGAGCTTGCGGTTCGTGGTTCCCCTCTGGGCCCCCTCTTGGGCCCGTCTTGGGGCCCTCTTGGGCCATCTTGGGCGCCTCTTGGGCCGTCTTGGGGCCCTCTTGGGCTGTCCTGGGGCCCTCTTGGAAGCTTCTTGGGCCGTCTTGGGGCGGTCTTGGGCGCCTCTTGGGCCGTCCTGTAACGTCGGAAAGCCCAAAAGGCAACTTTGTTGAAAATGTACGTTTTACGAAGGGAATGGGCCAATTTTTGCGTCTAGGGGCCCTCTTGGGACGCATGTTGGAGGCTTCTTGGGGCCTCTTGGGGGCGTCCTTGGACGTCTGGAGGCCATCTTCAGCATCTCGGAGCCCTCTTGGAGGCCTCTTGGAAGTTTCTTGGGCCGTCTTGGGCGCTTCTGGGGCCCTCTTGTCTGACCGGGGAGGCCTCCGGCAAGCCCCGACGAGCCTCCGGGCCCCCCCGGAGCCCACATTTGCGGTCGAGGTCCGGGCCCCGGGCCCCCGGACCCGGTCCCCCGCTATATGTATACATGTTCTGGGCTTCTGTCTTCCCCGCACTTCCTATATGTTCGCATCTGTTCCTTGGAATCGACCAAAGGTTGTGTCTGCGTGTCCCCTCCTGGAAACAGAAGCGGAGGGGAACTGCGGGCTGGCGGTGCGCTTGGCCCCGAAGTCGCACCGCCGAAGGACGCCACAGCACAGCACCGTGTGAGCCGGGCGCTCGCTCTCTCCACCGCCCCCCTCCCCCTCCCCCTCCTCCTCCTCCTTCTCCTCCTCCTCCTCCTCCTCCTCGTCCTCCTGCTCCTCCTCCTCCTCCTCCTCCTCCTGCTCCTCCTCCCTCCTCCTCCTCCTCCTCCCCTCCTCCTCCTGCTCAAACCGTCCCTCCTCCTCCCTCCTCCTCCTCCTCCTCCTCCTCCTCGCACCTTCCTCCTCCACCTTCCTCCGCTCCTGCTCAACCTCCTCCTCCTCCTCCTCCTCCTCCTCATGCTCCTCCTCCTCCTCCTGCTCAACCTCCCTCCTCCTCCTGCTCCTCCTCCGTCCTCCTCCTGCCAAACCTTCCTCCTCCGCTCCTCCGGCTCCTCCCCCTCCTCCTGCTCACCTCCTCCTCCTCCTCCCTTCTCCTCCTCCTGGCTCCTCCTCCTCCTCGTGCTCAACCTCCTCCTCCTCCTCCTCCTCCTCCTCCTCCTCCTCCTCCTCCCCGAGCCACCCGCCCCTGTCTCCAGCCCCCCCTCGCCCTCCGCGAGAGCGGGCCGCAGCAGCGAGCGCCCGCGCGGGCGCCAGCGCCGCCCGGAGCACGGGTCCCCCCTGGGAACCCTCGGAACCTCTGATCCTCGGGGCGGAGCGCTCCGCTGCCCCGAGGCGTGGGGCGAAGCGCGCAGAAGCGACTCGGCGAGGGGGAGGAGGAGGAGGAGGAGGAGGAGGAGGAGGAGGAGGAGGAGGAGGAGGAGGAGGGAGGAGGAGGAGGAGGAGGAGGAGGAGGAAGAGATTTCGGTGGCCTCGCGGTGCTGGAAGGCCGGAGGAGCGGGGCAGAGCGGGGCGATAACGAGGCGGGGAGGCGTGCGGCGCAAACCACGAGGGGGCAGGGGCGGGTAACGGAATCGGACGGTCACAACCCTTTTGCTGTTCCTTGGCGATTTCCTGACGTTTGTGTCATGTCGCGTATGATTTCCTGCGCACGCTGTTGAGTGAACCACGCAGAACCTTCCGTTCGATTCAATACTCGCTTGTACTAATATCCCCAACCCCATTACATTGTCAACTGCGGCCAGAACATCTGCTTGTCGGTGAGCTACAGCTTCGGAAATATGTCCTCCGAACGCCGAAGCACACGCCCGTGCCGATCCACAATTTGGGAACGCCCATGCCGCCCGCCATTTTGTAGCGCAGCCGTGTTCGTGCCATCACTTCGGTTGGTACACGCCCACCACGACGTGTGTACACTAACCGTTAAATGCCGAAGGAAACGTGTCACATCCCACTGTGCGTTGAGACAGCATAGCGACCATAACGACTATGTTCTAACCGTGCAGACATTATCTGATTCTTCGCTCCGCGAGCCTCGTGGGGGCTCTTGGATCCGGCCTAACCAAGCAACTTGTGCGGACATCGAAAGCAAAACGGGGCCCAGACCAAAGCAAAACCATGCACATGTCGAGCAATTCGCAAGCGAAACTGGACCCAAACCGGGCCAAACCAAACAAATTCAGAGGACGCCTCAAGCGGCGAAACCAGGCCCAAACCATGCCAAAAGAGAAGCCAAACCAGGCAAATTGGGAGGATGTCTCAGGCGGCGCGCGGCCAAACCAAGCCAAAAGAGAAGCCAAACCAGGCAAATTTGGAGAATGTCTCAGGCGGCGCGCGGCCAAACCAGGCCAAACCGAGCCAAACCATGCAAAACTGGTGGTCAAACCCAAAACAAATTGAGGACGTCCCAAGCAGAATCGCCCAAACCAACTCTCCTTGATACACCTATAAGTCAAAGGAGTGGATCACTCCCAGGACCTAATCTTTATGGGGGGGTGTTTGGACCGCGCGCCCCTCTGGCACGAAGGCGAGTGCCCCAAGGCTCACAGCCGTGCTGCTGCTGCAGCCAGGATTGTAATTTCTTCAGGGCCCGGACCATCAATTTCCCGGCCGCTTCCGGGCGCTCTTTCGGCGGCGACGACAGGGGCGAATAGCCCAGGGGCGGGCAGTACACGCATTCGCCCGGGAGCCTTTTCGAAGACATAGATCATCGGCGCACCTGAATACATGTGTTGCTCTCCCCTGGGATATTCGCCCCTATCGTCGCCCATGGCTCTTGGGCACTCCTGGAGTGTCCTGGCGCACTTGGGGTGTGTCGCGAGGGCCTCTGGGACGATGACCCCGCCCAACCGGGCCCCCAAGCGGGCGAAGAGGGCCCCGAGAGGTCTCCAGGAGAGTCTAAGAAGCCACCGAGACGCCCAGGATGGCCCCAAGACGGCCCAAGAGGTCCCTCCCAAAAGAGTTCCAAGAGGAAGCCCAAAGAGCGCCCCAAGACGCAAAACTCGCCCCATTCCCTTCGGAGAGCGTACATTTGTTGTATATTCGCCCCTTCGGCCTGCACACCAGGATCACCCCAAGACAGCTCCAGAGGCCACCAAGAGGGCTCCAAGAGGACCCAAGAGGGCCCCAAGATGGCCCAAGTGGCCACTAGACGGCCCAAGAGAGCCCCAGGGCGGCTCCAAGAGGGGTCCCAGATGAGAAACCCGAACAGACATTTCGAGCCCTCGGTCCCGAGGGGCCTCTAGGAGCCCCCAAGAAGCCCCCGAGAGGCTCCCCGAAGGCCCCGAGAGGGCCCCAAGAGGCCCCAAGAGGCCCCCAAGAGGCTCCCAAGAGGCTCCCAAGAGGTCCCCAAACCGCCCCCAAGATCGCTCCGAAGAGATCCCAAGAAACATCCCACATGACTCTGACTGCAAACCAGGCACGGTGGCGGCAAGGGCCGAAGGCCAGTAGATACTGAACCATTATACAAAAACTTCTATCCTTTGCGCAGGATTGGTGGTCGTATTTCTTTGTGTGGGATCGTGGGCATCTTACTCCAGCTGTGTATATCAATTGTCCTTGTGCCTCTTCAATGAAAGTGTGTGGGCAAACCATGCTGAAAAATGACAAATTGCCTTGCCTTCCACCAGTCCCGCGACGATGCAAACATGCCGTTGAGGGGCTCGATTTGCAACAACAGACGCTTTCCTTCATTGGAGCTGCACGCCGCTTGCGACACAAACACGGTCCCACCTGTAGCAACCATTTTTAGTGTGTACGTGATGCGGCTGCTGCTGGACAAGGGAAGGAGGAAGAGGAGAGGAGAGGTGTTAAGTTGTTTCCATCGCCCGCACAGTCCGATATGTGCAAACAAATCCAGATACCAAACTGATACGAATTCGATACGAAGGAGGAATACACAACTGATACGATTTCGATACGAAGGAGGAAGATACAACGACGACGACGCCGAAGACGACGACGACGACGACGACGACGAAGAGGTGAGAAAAAGGGGAGCGGGACGCACGGATCGGCCAAGGTGGAGCACGTGGTCACACGGACGAAGCACGTGGCGCCCGCGACCCGGGGCTTGGCCCGCCCCCCCCGCCCCCCCCTCCTCCTTCTCCTCCTCCTTCTCCTCGTCCTCCTTCTCCCCTCCGACTTATGGTGGTGGTGGCGGTGGTGGGAAACCAGCCCATCGTATTGGAACCTTTTTGGCAGCCAGTCTCGGGAAGGTGGAAAAGGGGGCACGTGCCCGTTCGCGCCCAGATCGTGGGGACGTCCCGAGCGAAGCGCTGACCTGGGCCCCCCCCCAGCTGGTCCCCTTTTTACAGGGCCCCGAGGTCATCCCGATGGAGCGGGCACTTCACCTGGGCGCTCCAAGGGGGGAGCCGCCAGGAAGCGCTCAACCGCCACAGGCGACCCTCCACCGCGCAGACACTCACTCACGCACGCACGGGCATACCCGCGCCGATGCTTGTTTTGTTCCCAGCGCGGACAATGTGCACGCCGGGCGGGCGCTCGTCTCGAGCATGTGGAACGGTGACCCCCCCCAAGCTCAAGCATCGCGCTGCGGGCATGTCACTTCCAGGGGCACTTTCGGTGGCAACTCATGGGAGCCTCCCGTACCATCTTGCCGGCTCTTGCGAATCGACTCTAGCCGAGGCAGAGGCGACGCTCGTAGACGATAATTCGACGCTAATCTACGCTAGCCGGCGCTAGTTCGGTGCTATCTCATCGACTCCCAGACGCTTGTCGACGCGAAGGACGGACTCAAGAGGGTAGGCCAGGCTCCCACGACTTGCTACTGAGGGCACGGACCTGGACTGCGCGAGCGAGCGCGGACACCGACGCTCGGACGCGCGGCGGTGCGCGTGAGGAC